ACTTTTATATCTGAGCTATTTGCACAGGCTCTACTACATGCAATGTTGATATATTTAATTTACTTTATATTTAATTTATTTTTGAAATTGAAATGAGCATAGAAATTGTCTGTGTTCCAATCAAAGCAGTCTTAGAAACCAGTATATAACTTGCTGTATAGATTTTAGGTAGTATAAACAAAACTCTAATCATATTTTTAAATACTAACATGAATTTAGACCTGCTAAAGTAAACAGGGAAATATTTATACATACATACAGTAAGCATTCACATTCAGATATCTATCTACCTATCTAGCTACATACATATATACATAGCTTCAGAATGGTAATTCTCATTTTAAAGGTTTTCTTTGATATTGTTTATTATTTTATTTCAGTTCATTTATTACTAATGAATCTTTTTATAAAAAGAGAATAGAATATATAGACAAAAGGCAGCATGAATACAACTTTATCTTTTTCAACTATATTTAGTTAAACACTGCTAAAGTGAACTAGACTCTTGAGAAATCATCCTTCTGAGGATAATTACAAACATCCCACTGATAAATGTCTTACTTATCCAGCACTCTTCTATTAGAACAAATTCTTTGAAGAGTATTTCATTCCATTTTGAATACTGCCACAGGTACATGAGAAAAGGATCTTAAATTTGACATTCTAGCTCTGAAGTCTAAACAGCAGAATGGAAAATAAATCTAGAGTCAGTGAATTCCTTCTGCATGGATTCCCTGACACTGAGCAGCTACGGATAGTTCACATCATTGCTTTTTTAACAATTTATTTGATAGCCCTCACTGAAAATCTCATCATCATCATTGTCATTGTTTATAGCCATCAGCTCCATTCACCTATGTATTTTTTTATAGCTAATTTATCTTTGCAAGATCTTGGCTCCATCTCTGTCACAGTTCCCAAGTCCATGATGAATTCCTTGATGAACACAGAAGCCATTTCTTACTCTGGATGTCTCTGCCAAGTTTTCTTCCTTGTTTTCTTCATGATGTCTCATTTCTTTCTCCTGGGTGTCATGGCCTATGATCGTTATGTCGCCATCTGCAAGCCACTGCATTATGAGACTGTACTGAGCAAAAAAGCTTGCATCCAAATGGCAACCAGTGCATGGATGGGTGGCTTTTTCTATGCAATAGTTTATACAGGAAACTTGTTTATGGTGAAGTTCTGTTCCAGAATCATCAATCAGTTCTTCTGTGAAATCCCTCAGTTGCTTAAGATTTCTTGCTCTGACTTTCCTGTTGCAGAAGAATGGGCAGTCCTTTTTGGTTGTCTTTTAGCTTTTCTCTATTTTGCTCTAATTGCTTTATCTTATGTTGTGATCTTCAGAGCAGTGTTGAGAATCCCATCCACCCAGGGGAAAGAAAAAGCCTTCTCTACCTGTTTACCTCATCTCATAGTCATTTGCTTATTTTTGATAAGTGGTTCCTTTGCATACCTGAGACCCACATCCAGCTCTCCATCAACATCAGACATCCTAATTTCAACATTTTACTGTGTGGTGCCACCAGTCATGAATCCTTTGATCTACAGCATGAGAAACAAGGAACTCAAAATGGCATTCTGGAAGCTGATCCTCAATATTTCTTCTAACACCTTATCCAAAATTTCTCATTTTTGTGTGCCTTAATAAATGCTTTAACGTGTTTGGCCTTTTTGTGGCATATTGGTGAATTATACATATATAAAACCATCTTGTCCTATGAATACCAATTGATAAATTATAGGTTAGGCTTCCTCCTTGTTAAATTGATAAAATTACTATACATTAATGTTGTCTTGTTTGTTTGCTTGCTTAAAACATTCTTATACAACACTGGGCAGTTTATAATTAAGAAGTGTTAATCTACTTTAAGATTATAATTGTCACAGACTAATATCTAGGATTAAATCTCTATGATACAACATAAACATATACAGCCGAATGCTAACTATAGTGTTATATTTCATACACATTTTCCTCTAAAGGAGTAAGGAGTCCATTCATTATTATTAATATTACTTATGTTTTGTTGCAAATGCAGTACAAATGTATTGCAAATATGTATCAAATAATGCTCCTGACTTCATGTGCCCATACATATATACATACATATATACATACACATACAGACACATTTCTAAAATTCTGTTTTATCTTTGTCATTACTGGATACTGAGTGTAGATTAATGAGCAAAAATGAATTTAATATAATTTAATATAAAATGAATAAGCAATTGCATTTTATTAAATAAAAAAAATATACTAGCTTTTTAATCCCTTTTTTTCCAAAACAACATGGCTTATCTCTCTTTTAAAAACAGTGGTATTTTATTTTATATATTGTATATAGTATGTTTAGGTGTGTGTCATGTATGTGTTTCACTTTGAGAGCGGGCAACTAAATTTCATTTTTGATGTGTGCCGTTGTGCCCGCAGTAAAAAAAAAAGCCAATAAAAGCTTATCTATCTATCTATCTATCTATCTATCTATCTATCTATCTATCTATCTATCTATCTATCTATCTATCTATCTATCTATCATCTATCTACAAAAATTGGAAATGAAAAATTTCCAGTTCCTTAGGTGGTTTTGGCCTTTATTTGCATTGAGTTCTTCCCAAAAATCTAGATTATCATAATATATCAGTATAAGCGTATTTGCAGATCCAAGCAAAGTGGTCTTTTGCAATTGACAGGTGGAAATTTTGTCAACACATAATCCATTTTAAAATACTTATTTTATCAGTGAGAGAAAATGGTAAGAAAAAATGGATTCTAATGATGACATATAAACATATCTATCTATCTATCTATCTATCTATCTATCTATCTATCTATCTATCTATCTATCTATCTATGTTTTCAGATATTTGTATTTAATTTCATGATTTGCAAAATCTTGGATTGTTTTCAGCATCAAATTTTAATTTCTTTCTAAGTTGATAGAGTTATGTCATGGTGTTACAGCAAAGAATGTATCAAATTAAAGGTTTCTAGAGGTTTTAAAATTTATTTTTACGTTACTAGCAATGAATTATTATTATGTGCATTAATCTATTTCCTAATCTTTTTTCTTTTGTATCATTTAAAAACCCTAACCCTCATCTCTATTTACTATAAATTGCAAATATACTCTGTCTATTTCTTCAGAATAATAAGAGTGTAATACAAATACTTGATCATTAATAGCTGGGATATAGGAGATGACTAGGCTGACCCTGAGGGAGGGCTCAAATGCATCATAAGTCATGAGTCCCTGCATGTCTGCAAGAGATCTACGTCCAGCCCATCTTGAATGCCTTTATTATCTCCCAATCTTTCCTTGACCATTAGTCAAGGTTCAAGATTCTCTACAAGACTCTTGTAGAGAGCTTAAGTTTGCAAAAAAAAAAATTGTATATTCATTTAAATTGCCTGAATCTCCTGATTTCCCCAGGTCTTGACAATTCACACATTATTAAACTTGTTTCTTTTGTACTTGTTAATTGAAGAAGTTAGGGGTTATTGTATGGATGAGGGGATATAGAGAGCAAGGACTCTGGCTGACCCCGAGAGCTAGCACTTGAGTACTGCCAGAGTTCTCTTCTGGATGGTTGATGGATGGTTGAGTGGGGATGGCTGGGAGAGGAGTAGAGCCACTATCCCAGGTGGGAAGCAGATGATTTTCTTTTGGGATTTGGGGTGGTGATGGGGATGGGACAAGATGGGAGCAAAAGGATAGGCTGTTGAAGAGAAGACATCTCAGATATTTAATACCAGTGGCATGTTCTGACCTCACACCCAATCCCTGGACAATGGACTGTTGTATGCCTAGGCCCTCAGCTACTGTCAATGAATACCAGGTTAGTCAACAATAAGGGTCCCCATATTTTTGACCTTATTGGGAAAGAACTGTAAGAGATGAGGGCAGGGTCAAATGCATGCATCATAAGTCTTGATGGTGATCATCATCAATCCCTATGCCCCTGAAATAGACTTAAGTACAGCTCCCCTTTAAATCCTTTGACTCTTAGTTGGTGCCAATTTGTATTGACCATTAGTAATTCAGATTCTTGTGTATAGTTTGCATGGAATAAACTTGCAGTGCTTTTGAACTCTGTCCAGCTCCTGAATTCTTGCATCTGATAGGAACAAACTGAACTAGCATGCATCACTGTGACCTGGCTCAGGCCAGAGGGGAAAAATTCTTCTCTCAGAAATGTGTCCAGCAGACTTAGGGCAGGAGAGCTGGAATGGATATTGTTATCTGGGAATCTCTTTTGGTCTTCATGCTTCACAGGTTTTTGGGTTCCTATTCCTAAAGCTGGTCTCACAGGATTAGTTGGGAGTGTTGCTGCTGTACCAGCCTCTGTGTTGCATAGCAACCACCTTGCATGATCTGTTGGAGGCCATTCAGGGCAGGAGGTGGACTTCCCCAGCCTTAAGGACATTAGGGACTTCCATCTGTCATCTCAGATGGCCTGGGAATTCATGGCCACTATGGCAGCCATGGACCTATCATAGGTCATCTAAGACTTGATATAGGACAATAGTCACACTCCAGATATGATTTTATTGTTTGAAGCAGTGGCAACATGAACTGATGAGGGATTTGGGGATCAGACCTTGGGGAACCCATGGTCAGATCATGCCCTCGTGGCTGTGAAATTTTCCATTGCTGGCCCTCTCTGCTGGCAGGCAGGACTTATGGACCTGCTTCAGTTTCAGAAAGAGCTAGGGATATCCTGGGAATTATCCTATGCAGCCTTGTGGAGGCTTTGGTCACAATCTGGAATCATGAAGCAACTGCTGCCCTGGACAGGATTGCACCTGTTAGATGTCTCCTGGCCCATCACTCCCAAAACTCCCAATGGATTACAGGGGTGTGCAAAGAAATTTGCTGAACACTTAATGGATAATATCACTGGGTCTGTTTTCAGTTTGAGTCCAAGAGTGTAATAGTTCTATTGGAGATGGTTGGAGAATAGATTTGCCTGATTATCTGAGACTGGTTTAGTCCTGTTAGACCTGAGGAAGTGAACAAGGTCCTTGGGGCTATCAAGGCAACTACTTACTTATTAGATACTTATCCCTCCTGGTTAGTGAAAACTTTCTGGACAGGTGGGTCAAGGTGGTGATTAACATAGTGCTGCAAAAGAGGGCATTTCTGATACCATTTAAGGAGGACTTGGTCTACCCCCTCCTCAGGAAATGATCATTTGACTCAACCTGTCTGAACAATTTTTATTCAATTTCCCACTTTTCCTTTCTATGGAAGACAGTGGAAAAAGTGGTTGCCTTGCAGCTCCAAAGAGTTTTGGATTATCTTGATCCCTTTCAGTCAGGTTTCAGGTCAGATTACTGAGGGGAAATGGGGACACTCAGTTGTTTTCTCTGAAAAATGTCCACCTTATTGAGGGAGAATATGAAGACAGGCAGACTATATATATTGCAGAGATCAAGTGCAAGCAAAACACACAATAATTAAAAATTCAGAGAAAACAACAACATGAAATAGGCAAATGGACTATGCCTTTTTCCTCCCTTGAAAAGAAGGGATTGTCAGGAATGGAAGAAGATCTCTATGTGGGTAACAATAATGAAGATAAGGACACCAACCTGAATTGGAACACTAAAAAAATAGATCTCCAATTTCAGCTAGGAATAAATTAGACCAAGTGAGCTTAAGTAACTTGGATCTCTAAGAAGAATTGATTGACAATATTGGAGCAGCAAGGAGTTGCTAAAGTGGCATTAGTATGTAATACTCCATAGTGGTAACCAAAAATCTAAATATTTCCACATCTGCATGCAAGGTCTTCTATTAATCATTCACTCATATTTTAAAAAGGGGTTGCAAATGGTAATACAGCATTCATAGCCATGACTGTAAGAAGGGGAATATCATATCCTACAAAAAAGATAAAGAAAAGGCCATGAGCATCACATCCAGAAAAAGAGATGAGGCCATATAAGCCATATAAGTAGTCTAAACAAAGGAGCCAAACTTGTAGAATAAATTCCATCTGGAGTGAATAGAGAAATGAGATTTATATATTTTATCATTTTACTTATTTATTTCATTATTTCTGCTGAGTCTTTAAGTAAATTTTAAAAAGAGTGAAAATGTATAATTATACACATGTTAGAATAAAATAGAGCTGGAAGGGACCTTGGAGGTCTTCTAGTCCAGCCCCCCTATATCATCTCAGAGAAGTGACTGTCCAGTCTCTTCTTAAAAACCTCCAATGATGGAGCACCCACGATTTCTGGAGACAAGTTGTTCCACTGGTTAATTGTTCTCACTGTTAGGAGGTTTCTCGTTAATTCTAAGTTGCTTCTCTCTTTGTTCAGTTTCCAACCATTGTTTCTTGTTCTACCCTCTGGTGCTTTGGTGAATAACATACCCCTTCTTCTTTGTGGTAGCCCTCAAGTACTGGAATATTGCTATCATGTCTCCCCTATTTCTTCTTTTCTTTAGAGTAGCCAGACCCAAGTCCTGCAGCTGTTCTTGGTATGTTTTAAACTCCAGGCCTTTGATCATCATAGTTGCTCTTCTCTGAATTTTTTCCAAACTCTCAACATCTTTTTTGTGATATGGTGACCACAATTGGCTGCAATATTCCAGGTGTGGTCTTACTAGGGTTTTATAAAGCAGTACTAATATT